TCTCTCTCTCTCTCTCCCTTCATGTTCACAATTAATTTTCTATCTAGCCATCGTTTTACACTTTATATTTTACTTTATTCGCATCTATTCCACTAGGAAAACCTGGATTATATCGTTTGCAATCGGGCCAGCCAATCGTTCAGCAATTTTGAGAAATAATGGTCCTATAATTTAAAGCCACCGGGCTCATCTAAAGCACCAATTTCTATTTGCGTACTTGTGCCGACCATTAATTTTTATGGTCTGTAAGTTTTCGAATTCATTAAAAGTCAAGTTGCAAGTATTTATTCAGCCCGTTAATCAGTGCTAAAACAATAAACTTTCAAAACTTACATCCCCACTTTCGCTCCCACTATTCTCCCCGTCGACGTAACTTTTCAAAAACGCCATCACTTTGCAAATGATAATCCAATCGAATATAATATGATATAAGGGTCACGAGGGGGCAACTTCTTCGATCCGATTTCCAGGGTAGCTTTTTACCAGGGACGTCGTTTGCCCCGGGAGCTGACAGTCGTTATCCTTGTTGCAGTCACGGCGCCATTGGATCCGCTTGGCCTCGATGCTCATTCGAAAAGCCGCCAGGATAACTCGCGTTATCATCAGACCTTAGCACTTCCCTCGACGACGACACTTGGCATCGCCTCCTCCTTGCTCCGTGATCTCGTCCCCTCTCCACCCCATCCCAATCCCTTGATCTTACTGTTACATCAAAGCTTTGTTATAGCACGTATTACAATATTCTCCGCCCGTTGTTCATTTTATGAATGATAATGACAGTCACATGGAATCCGAAACTATAAGAGCAGATGCGATCGAATTAAATACCAATGTACTCATTAAATATTTGTAGATGCCGATAAAGTATAGAAGGCATGTTTAAAGCATCGATTGCTTTTATTGTTAAGCCACATTATTTTGCGAAAGAACTAGTGGTGTAATTTACTACGATGTGATAAGAGCATTGAACTGTTCTTACTAAGATTCTAAATGTTTTAATATTATCATGAAAACATATGTGCTTTTGTCAGATAATGAGAGTATTTTTACTATAGCAAGTACTCTAAAGTCATTAGCTTCAAAGTTCCACTCGATAATCCGTCATTGCGAAAGAAGAAGAAATTACATTTGCTTTAATATTAATACAAATAAAACATACGACACGCTTATGGCGAATGATAGTAGGAGCTAACGTGAAAAAAAGGTTTTATAGACTAGAAAGCGGCTTTATTATTAATGTTTATCATCGAAAAATGTATGTATCGAGTTCGCAGAATAGTTGAATTTTATTGAATAACGATTGAATGAAAAATTAACAGCCACGTCAAAATAATGCGTATTTTTATTAATAAAATGGGTTAAATTGAGGTCTCGAGAGACTCCTCCTCCTCCGCGCTTAGGCCTAAAGCCAAACTCGCGTGCTCCGAGGTAATAAACCTCGGAAGGAGGTTACATATATACCATCGACTACCTTTAAACTATGAGTTATAACAGAGATTGAAATCCAAAATAATACATATTTATAATTGGAAAAGAAGATTATACGCCCGCAAACACACGCGCGCCCGCGCGAGCTCACACAGATGATAGAAAAGAAAAGAAAAGAAATGAAAATTCATCGAATTTGACTAAGTATATGTTTCAATATTCACTTGGAAATTAAATATTTGAATATAAGCCAACTTATAAAAGATTATTTAATGCAGCTTCAATTCTTTATCGCTCGACCGAAATTTAGTGCAACATCGAAGAAACGGGGAATCGAAAAAAATTAATGATAAATCTCCAATGAATCTCAATAGTTTTTATTTTATAAACATATTTCTTTATTATAAAAAGGATACCGGCATTTTATTATTCGCCATACAATAGGGAGATTTTACAATCAGTATTACCTTGAGTATACTTAAGTGCGTTTAGAGTATGAGATTATGTACAAAGTCATTCAACTAATCCCCCGCGCGGATCTAGGCGATTAATTATGAATAAAACTCCTCCGCCTATATATCGTTCAATATATCTACAGCGCATGGCGAGTACCGTCACCGCATTATCTGATCTCCAGATTATACAGCATCCGTGATAGAGCGCCCTAACCATCTAAAGATGCCTGAGAGTCTACTCTAGTAAAGATTAATTTCCTTTTTCAAGCATTTCCTAAGCTTTTTTTTTTTTTTTTTTTTTTTTTTTTTTTTTTTTTCACGAATATGTGCATGGTCAGCCCGCAATTTAAAGAGCCACGAGGCCGTTTTTTTTTCTTTTTCTTTTTTTCTTTGCAAAGGATATCATTTCAATGATTTTAAGCTTTTAAGCTACTAATAAGTGTCTTGACAGCCCTATTAGAACAAGTAATATTATAACTTTCGCTATCGACTTTGAGATTTTTAATGCATGATGAAAGGCCAATTTCCACTAATGCTAAATAAATTTTAATCAATGCCTTTTTCAGATCTGAGAATAATTACTGTAATACTGTATAAGCAATAATGATCCATCCGAGTTCACGTGTGCGTCATCTCCAAGAAAATCTATAAAGGCCACTTAATCGTTCAAATCATAAGAACTTAAATTAATTCCTCTTCCAGGAACGGAAGTTGGAAACGGTCAATTAAAGTGCGTCCGCGTCAAATATATTATTGCACTCGCTCTGCATCTGGTCCCATGTTATTAACAAAATAATAATAACAATAATAATAATAATAATAATAATAATTTAAAAATAATATAAAGTTTTATTGTACATTTATCGTCGATTATGAGTATCTAATTTTTTTCATTAATTTTAGAATCCTTTTGTACTTAAAATGATATTTCAAATAAATCATAAATCATCTATCGTTGCTTTAATATTATCTAATAAAATTATAAATAATATAGTAAAGTATTAATACGAATGACAAAACATATTGTAAGCTCAGTTGCAATAAATCTACGGAATAGAAAATATGGATTCTGAATAGTGAGGCCATAGTAATGTATAATAATATTGTAATTACAAGCTTCGGTTTATCATGCAACAATGTAATCCATATATGGCATGCTTGATAGTAATACTTTAACGAGCGTGCTTAATTAAAAATATATCGATGTCTTATGTTTTTATATTTATTTACGTTTGCTATTTCGTTTGTTTTCTCTTTTGTTTATGTATAATAAAAATTCAGTTTATAATAATTGATTTGTCA